AGTTGCATTTTTGCATGTGTTGCATTAGGCATTTCTGCATATTTAGATCATGCATGATTTCTAACCTAGCTTCTGTTTTGGCTTGGAGTACTCGATGAGTTTTATGCTTTAGCATCATTGCATGCGTGTGAGTCTGCCATGAATAGCATGCTTACCATGAGGCTATTTGCTTATGTGATATAACTCCTGAATGCCTGTGGGTGAAGGTTGGGTTACTTGGATTGGAACAAATCATCAACTGTGAGTTTTAAGCCCACTATAGTGGCAAAACCATCTTTTCTAAGCCCACCGAGGGTGGCAATCCACGTCTTAGCCTACTTGTGAGTAGCACCATCAAACCATTTTCAACAAACAAACATGAAATGTTTTGTTCCAATTCAGGCGACCCAGTCTATACTTGTATGCTGTGCCGCATCAATAGTAAATCTAGGCTAATAACCAGAATAAGAACACACAATGTTTTTCAAAACTAGATATCATGGTTAGTAGAGGCCGATCTTTGATCGGGCGAGGGGTGCTCACGAAGTGACCTTCCCCAATCGCTACCCAAGTTCCCGAGCCGAGGCAACTTTGGTGATGACGGACACGTGGCCTTAGGCAAACGAGTCAGGGTTTCCTAAATTTCCCCAAAATAAAATATTTAGGTGGCGACTCTGTATCTGGCAAAGCAGTCCATGTTTGGCACTTCTTTTCTAAAAATCTGTTTTCTCAAAACGATTTGCCAGATTTGGACTCTTTGGTTCAGATTTAGAACCGTGACAATTTGAGAGTCCTGAGCTGTAGTGACCCCAAATGAACAGAACGGGACTAATCCTCCCGGGCCGTTCGGGGGACGTCTACAGAAGGACATCAGCATTTCTAAGAGAGGAGTCCTCGGGGACATCAAGCTTTTTGAGGGCAGCCATCCAACCAAGGGTGAAACCCTTGTTGCATGTCTGCCTCACCTGCTTTTTGTAGTCCTCCTTGACATCGGCCACCCCCTCAAAATACGCTCTCTCATCAGCAGCCTTGATCTCAGCCTCCTTTGTGGCCAAGGCATCTTGAAGTTCTTTCTGGGCCTGGATCATCTTTTCCTCGTCCTCTCTCTTTTCGGCCTCGAGAACCTTCCTGATGGCCTCTGCAGCGTCTGCTTTTTCCTCGGCTTCATCTTTGGCCTTAACGGCTGCCTCAGCCTGGTCTGATAAAGTCCTCATCTTTCCCTCAATCCTTTTAAGGGTCTTCTGCAGACTAGCAACCTCCCTAGTCTTGTTGGCCAACGCTTTCCTTGTCTCAAAAGATTGCATTGAGAAGGAATAGGAGTGCTGGATTGCCTGAAGAAAAATGGACAGAGCAGAAGTTATTAGAAAATTTTCTAAGTATAAAATAGAGAAAGAAAAATTACCAAATAAAGGGGCTTACTTTAGCAGAGTGCTGCAGCATCAAGGTGAAGTTTTTATACTCAGTCATCTCGGTGTTGCGGTCGAGATCCCTAGGGAGGAGCAATGTTGTAATAAGGGCAACACCGACGTTGATGTCGTCGGCATTATCATCAACTTTGACCAGCCTGTCCTCCAAAGTAATAGGTGGAGCCTAGGGGGCATCAGACTTCATGGAGCCCGAAGCTGTGGCTGACTCTGATCTCGGCCTTTTAGACTGAGTTGATTGAGATGGTTCGGCATCAGTGGACCCCTTCTCGGCAGCAGAAGAGGTCTTCTCACTCTCAACCAATTTTGAAATTGGCAAGGTGTCCTCAGTATCAATCTAAGTCACTGTTGCCTTTGGCTGAGCCTTCTTGAGTCTTTTTTGCTTTTGCTTAGGTTGAGGCTAGGTTTGTGCTGGTTGAACGTCAACTGAGTCAGGGATGTTGACTGGACTTGATCAGATTATTATTCAAGAATTAATCAAGTAAGTTATTTAATTTATTTTCGGTGTTATTATTATTTATTTAAATCAGATTTTATTTTTATTTTTGTAACAAAATGAAATCTATTTTTATTTATTTATTTATTTATTTCTAGTTTGATTTTTGTAATCGAACAAATTCTCTCATTTCCTTTATTTTTTTATATTCTGGTTGTTGTTTAGTAAACAACAGAATTTAAACTATTTGAATGTAGTGAAAATTGTCTAACATATACTAGCCATAAAGGAAAGATTAAAAACCGGTATTCTAACAACACACATAGAAACCGATTACAGAACCCAATACAATCAATCTATGGATCAACATATTAGATAGTGAGGAAACTTTTTTATGTTTAAAAAAAAAAAAACACAGTTTGTGATTTAAAAGGCTCTCAACAATGTAGCCCAGTCAAAATAATAAGCAAAATAAAAAACCCATCAAAGAAAAGTATGGAATGGCTCTACCCAGAAAAGGTTTTTCTTTTCTGGGGTAAGGAAAATGAAAACTCATAAAAGAAAACTATTGAATGGTTCAACCCAGAAAGTGTTTTTTTTTTTCTTCGCTTTTTCTAGGTGAGAAAATAGATACTGAAGGGAGAAACTTTTTAGGGTTTGGATGTGAGGTGGAAAAAGGAGATAGGAAGACGTAACTGACGACAAGAGCAATAAAGAAAGGGCATTTAAGAAGAGCAAACAAGAGAGAGATGTTATATGGAATTTGCATTTAATGGAAGCTGAAAAAGAGAAGACAACATACACACACACACACATATATATATATATATATGCAAGAGAAGTGTGCTTTTAGATTGAGACATTATTCCTAATGGTAAGGGAGAGAGAAGTGAGAATTGAGGTCTAAGATGGCATCGTGGGAGTTAGAGAAATGATTTTCAGAAGAATCTGAGGATGATGATGATGGTGAGAACCCAACACCACGACCTGCGTCTGTGTCGTTGGCGATGTTGTTGTTTTCGTATAGAGAACAGTTTTGCAGAGATCTCTCTAACGATGCTGTGATCATCGCCATGTTTGGAGCTGTCATTATCACTACTGAAAAGTATTGTAACCAGAAATTAACAATGTCAGGTATAAATAGTAGTTTATGGTTGGATCTTTTTCTATGAAATAGCAATAAATTAATTTGTTATTATCTTCTATCCAGAAAATATTCATCAAATATTAAAATTCCATATATGTGAGGATCCGTAATAACTACTGCTACTATCTTCCTTATCCAAACCTAAAATATATACTCAAATCCAAATCCAAATTCAAACCTAAACCTCACCTCTATATAAGGAAACTGAAAGAGAGAAGAGAGAAGAAGAAGAAGAAAAAGAAAAGAAAAAAAAATGAGGAAGGAGAGAGGATTAAAATGAGGGTTTTTAAACTTGGCCCAGATTAAAGGATCATTTGTGCTTTTGACGATAAAAGAAACAACAACAATTCCACACTCCTTTTTAGTGCCTTTGGGGATATTTTTATTTAGAGGAATCCTATACCAACAAAAAAAATTTATATATAATATGATTGTGTTTTTATGACATTTTTTTATTTTTTCAAATAAAACATACATTTAGTATTCTCCTTATAATTTTTTAAATGTTATTGACACATAATTGTAAATGCTTTTTATTTCAAAATTTTATGTTTCGTTTTGGAATAAATTATTTTAGTAATTTTTTTTTATTTTTTAGGAAAAATATGAGTAGAAAAATTATTATATTCGGAATGACTTTTTGATTTTTTATAAAAAAAATATGCAAAATGTAAAGAGAAAAGAGAATTTTTATTTTATTTTTTTGGTATAATTTGTTGAATTTTTTACTTTTTTTAATAATTTTTTAACTTTTAAACTAAAATGTGATATTTCTAAACGAGGTCTTAAGTTCGAATCGCCTCTTTATTATAATAATTAATTAGTACTAACCTATTAACATTTACTGTGTGACTAGCATCTTCCGGTGACTAAAATGAATCAGTTTTATTTCATTTAATAAAGCAAACAGTTTTGTTATTTATTTATTTATTTATTGATATGTAATATTACAATTCATAATATGAATATGAAATAAGAGGAGAATTCTAAAATACACCCCTTTTAATGCGAATCTAGGTTTCCTATTCCCTTCTATGCTCCATTCTCTAGCCCATTATATTTTATTGGTTTATGAAACTGTCCATATTGAATCAAGATCTCCTATTTTAGAATATAATGAAGTAGAGAATGGAGCATAGAAGGGAATAGGAAACCTAGATTCGCATTAAAAGGGATGTATTTTAGAATTCTCCTTTTATTTCATATTCATATTATGAATTGTAATATTACATATCAATAAATAAATAAATAAATAACAAAACTGTTTGTTTTATTAAATGAAATAAAACTGATTCATTTTAGTCACCGGAAGATGCTAGTCACACAGTAAAATGTTAATAGGTTAGTACTAATTAATTATTATAATAAAGAGGCGATTCGAACTTAAGACCTCGTTTAGAAATATCACATTTTAGTTTAAAAGTTAAAAAATCATTAAAAAAAGTTAAAAATTCAACAAATTATACAAAAAAAAAAATAAAAATTCCCTTTTCTCTTTACTTTTTGCATATTTTTTCATAAAAAATTAAAAAGTCATTCCGAATATAATAATTTTTCTACTCATATTTTTGCTAAAAAATCAAAAAATTACTAAAATAACTTGTTCCAAAACGAAACATAAAATTTTGATACAAAAAGCATTTACAATTATGTGTCAATAACATTTAAAAAATTATAAGGAGAATACTAAATGTATGTTTTATTTGAAAAAAAAAAAAAAGTCATAAAAACACAATCATATTATACATAAATAAAAATTTTGTTGGTATAGGATTCCTCTAAATAAAAATATCCCCAAAGGCACTAAAGGAGTGTGGAATTGTCGTTGTTTCTCTTATCGTCAAAAGCACAAATGATCCTTCAATCTGGGCCAAGTTTAAAAACTCTCATTTTAATCCTCTCTCCTTCTTTTTTTTTTTTTTAATCTCTTCTCTTCTGTTCTCTCAGTTTCCTTATATAGAGGTGAGGTTTGGTTTGAGTTTGGATTTGGATTTGAGTATATATTTTAGGTTTGCATAAGGAAGATAGTAGCAGTAGTTATTACGGATCCTCACATATATGGAATTTTAATATTTGATGAATATTTTCTGGATAGCAGATAATTACAAATTAATTTATTGCTATTTCATAGAAAAAGATCCAACCATAAACCACTATTTATACCTGACCTTGTTAATTTCTGGTTACAAAACTTTTCAGTAGTGATAATGACAGCTCCAAACATGGCGATAATCACTGCATCGTTAGAGAGATCTCTGCAAAACTGTTCTCTATACGAAAACAACAACATCGCCGACGACACAGACGCAGGTGGTGGTGTTGGGTTCTCATTATCATCATCATCCTCAGATTCTTCTGAAAATCATTTCTCTAACTCCTATGATGCCATCTTAGACCTCAATTCTCACCTCTCTCTCCCTTACCATTGGGAACAATGTCTCAATCTAAAGGTACACTTCTCTTGCATATATATATGTGTGTTGTCTTCTCTTTTTCAGCTTCCATTAATGCAAATTCCATATTACATCTCTCTCTTGTTTGCTCTTCTTAAATGCCCTTTCTTTATTGCTCTTGTCGTCATTTATGTCTTCTTATCTCCTTTTTCCACCTCACAGCCAAACCCTAAAAAGTTTCTCCCTTCAGTATCTATTTTCTCACCCAGAAAAAGCGAAGAAAAAAAAAAAAAAAACACTTTCTGGGTTGAACCATTCAATAGTTTTCTTTTATGAGTTTTCATTTTCCTTACCCCAGAAAAGAAAAACTTTTTCTGGGTAGAACCATTCCATACTTTTCTTTGATGGGTTTTTTATTTTGCTTATTATTTTGACTACATTGTTGAGGGCCTTTTAAATCACAGACTGTTTTTTTTTTTTTTTAAACATAAAAAATAAAAAACTTTCCTCACTATCTAATATGTTGATCCATAGATTGATGTATTGGGTTATGTAATCGGTTTTTATGTATGTTGTTGGAATACCTGTTTTTAATCTTTCTTTCACAGCTAGTATGTTGGTTTTGTAGTTCAACACCATTTGTACGGGGGTGATTTCCGCACTATGAAGAAGGGTTAAACTTCGTGGATGAATAGCAGGCTTTAGGAATTGAAGATCTGCACAGAATAACAAATGATGAGGCTGCCCGACCGGGGTTTGGTCGGAAACCCCTCCGATGGTAAAGTCAGGGACTCAGGGAGAGGGAAAAGAGAGAGGAGAGAATACAAAGAGTGTATATGTGTTAAGTGTGTGGATTTCGGATCCCCCGAGAGTGAATAGTGTTCACCTTTTATAGGAGAAGGTTGTTTGTCGTTCAAGTCCTTCTCTCTCAGCCATCTGTCCAATGTGTCTTATTCGTGGTCGTCTCCCATTGGAGGAGGACGACCACTCCGCCTGACACTCGGGTGCAGGTTTGTTTTGTTTGTCTCATTAGCGGACATCTCTCATTGGAGGAGGACGACCACTCCGCCTGCCATTCAGATGCAGGTTTGTCATATACACACCTTGTCTCTCTGCACCTCCACGTTTCCACGTTCTGTTCATACAGAGGGAGAGGAGCAGAGTTATTTGTCTCTTGTGGGCCCAAGAAAGATCTTCAGTGAATTGGCCTCCTCTAAGTTGGTCTGCTCTAGAACGGTTGTCCAACTAGGAGGTCCAATATGTTGCTCGGCCCACTTCGGAGTGATTCTGTCCATCTAGAAGGTCCACCATGTTGCTCGGCCCACTTTGGGGTGACGCTCGTACATTGGGCCGAACTCTTATGATTGTCTTCCTTCGGAGCAAGTGTTGGCCATAGGGCTGAGGTGTCCGACCTAGCTCCACTTTGGAGTGAGTATCGCATTGGGCCTAGCACCAAGACTTGATTAATTTTTACTCACTTCATTTAGCCCCTGGCTTGCGCTTACGTTTGGCGAAGCGGAAGCCAATTCTGTCACAAACTTCGGAATTTGGTCGATCACAACTTAATTTGAGCCCCGTGAGTTAGATTCAAAATTATTGTTCGGTTCAACGTTTGCGTCTGCCCAATATTTTGTAGCTCGGTTGTGCCCCCAAACTAAACGTGTATCTTCACTAGCCTTGTAATTGTCTAGCTTGGTGCTCTTTCAGTTGGCTGCGCGTTGTTGCTTGACTTGGAAAAAAAAAAATACACATATACAAAAATAATACTAATAATAATAATAAAATAAATAAATATAAATAAAATAATAATAATATATTTAATTTAATAGCTATATGTTAAAATGTAATTTAATTTAATTAGGGATCATGGTATGTTATTAAAAGATGATTATGTAATTATTATATTACTTGGGGCCCAAGTGTAATTACTTAATGGGCCCAAGGTGTTCAACATTAGCCCGGAAGTGCGAAAAACGGGCGCCGGAGGGCGTCGGAGGATGTATAACTGGTTGCTGCAACAATTACTGGCCTCCCACCCTTCAGTGACCTTCCCGGTGATAAAACAGAGGTACCTGCCAAAAATGAACGAAAACCGTTGCAAAACGAATACTCGGGGACCAAAACGCGCAGTTCGGGGTCCCAAAAATGGGCTGTTAAGCACCGAAAGTGGCGGTCGGCCACGAAGTGGGTTTCTCAGCCCCCAGTGTCCCTCAAAAGGGAGAAAATAAGATGTATGCCAAAAATTAGAGCAATAGGAGATGGTTAAGCGGTCCCGAACCGAGGCACACGGCCTGACGGCTCCGAAAACCGGGAACCGGACTCCGAAATGGGCAAAATGGCCTACGGCCACCAAATGTAGCCTACGGACATTGAGAGATGGTCTACGGGACCTCTCCCCCCCTCAGGAAAAGAAACAGAGAAAATCGAGTCTGGTTCGCAAACCGAGACAAGGCACAGAAGAGGGTTCGGAAGTCCGGAGGCAGGGCTCACGACCGCGACTCTGAAACTTCTGAACGAGCACATTATGCAACATCACCAAGCGCTCAATCGGTGACGTCTGAGTCTTAAGGTCGGTCAAAAATGGGGTGTCTACAGCCTATTCTGACATCTGATGGACTGAACAATCGTTTAATTTATGCACGATCATTGCCCAGCTGTTTATTTGTTTCAGTCTTCAAGATTTTGTTCTGCGTTGTTTGGTTGGTTTGCACGTCGGTTAACCGAGCAAGTCGTCGGTGGGCTGAGCAATTGCCAAAATTTTATAATATGTGCTGAGCAGATGCACTTCCCAACAATAGTAGACAATGGAAAATTATGTTGGCTCGGTCCCACTTAGTAAATCCATAGGTGATATTCGGTGTTTGGTCGGCCAAGTCATACTTATGCACTCTGGTTCGGACATGATCAATAAATCAACTTTTTTTTTTTAGCTTCTCTTCATGCATTGGTCGGTCATCTGTCATGTTTGGCCAGCCTTATTTACGTCTAATGAAGTGGTAGCTTGGCCCATTAATTCATCAGTTTCATCCCATCTTTAGGCACTGCTCGGCCTTCTTAATTTACGCACGACACTACCCCAGTTTCTGCTCAATTCATTCTCGTTCGGTCGTCATCTTTTTTCATATCCAGCAGCATATTTCTTCCGTGGTCTTTGTTGTTCGGTTGGGCCGTTGCTCGGCCATGGGTTTGCCACTGCTCGGCCCTAGAGGAGCATGCCATCAAATTCGCAGCTTGGTCGCTAGCTCGGCTCGTCGCCGTCAACGAATGAGTTCAGTCGGTTGCCGTTATTCCGTAGCTTGGTTCGCACCAGCTTTCACGCTGCTCGGTGGTCTCCAGTTTATGCTCGGTTACATCTTTTCAGTGTCGTGCTCGGCTGGCCACCATCTTCGTCTTGCCATTGGATTTCAAGCTCGGCACTGACAGAAGTACATACTTGACTATCGAGCTGTCACGCGTCCATATCTGATTAGTTTAGGGCTGCTAATGTGACGTAAAAGCAAGCCCAATTCAAAGTTTTTCTTGAAAACAAGCAAACCCATCTTACATAACACTTTCTCACTCTAGAAATTTGAATTTCCAGACCCATTTTTTCCATTTCTTTGTTGCCTTACTTTTTGACTCCAGGAGCAACAGTACCCATTTTTGGAACAAAGCTCTGACTTTGTTTTTATTCTCATGCTTTCCTTCGTTGGAATTTTAAAACAATTTTAAAAATCTGAATTTTAAAAATCTGAGCTTGACCTCTAGTCCTCTTTCTATAAATCCCAAACTTTTGTTTAGAAAGGTTGGAGCTTGCACCAACAACGTGGTCTCCTCACTTTCTCACTCTAGAGAATTAGATTTTCATAGTCTGGAGACAAACCCAGCATTCTCTTCTTCTAACTTCATCTTCCAGCTTCGTCGTTTGCAGCAAAAAAAAAAAAACAAAAATTATCCTCGCCGTTATATCAAGTCGGGTTTCACCAACTGGTAAACAAAGAGCCCATCTTACAACAAATATGTTCGGATTTGATCAAATACGACACGACGTAGGCCCACCGACATGTGGCTAGTCACGTTAGTCGTTTCATTCTCCTTGGCAGCAGTTCTGAACCTGGAATGTCCATCCATGCTTACAAGAAGATTGTGCCCAGAGTTAGGTCGTTCAAGTTTGACATAACCTGTGACCGAGTCGCTCTAATCTGGTGAGCAATCTCAAGCTGTTCCTCCAGTGGGAGCATCTCATTGCCTCTTGTTCACTGGGTTTTGATTTCGTAAGTTTTTGGAACTCTCTCCTTCTAATAAGCTTTTCTTACTGATTTGTGGTGGACATTGTTTTGTAAATCCTCCACTATTAATAATTTATCTATTTATTTATTCTCTCTCCTTTTTTTTTTTTTTTTTGCTCTCTTTTTTTTTTCAAATTGATTTTTTTTATATATATATATATTTTTATTTTTTTTTTGCAACTCACAATTTTTCTCTTGGTTGCCACAGTGGGATTGCTTCATCGGAGACGCTCGCCGTCAAGTTCCTCTTGATTTTGACACCGTAAGTCATAGAATCCATGTATTTATTTTCCACCTTCACCATTACTTTTTTGGCTAAGTGTAACATTAAGAGTTGTCTAGCATACGATTGCCTGGTCGGCCATTGTACCTCCAACCTTGCAAGTCATCCTTAGTGTAGTTGTTTGGTGGAACGTCGCACCTCCCATGGGTAAGTTTCGGAACCTAGTGGACACCCCGGCAGGAATGGATGAGTTCCGCCGAAGATATAACATTCCCAATGATGTCACATTGACATTGGCGGCGGTTGACGCGGATCGGTCGTGTACAAGCACCACAATGCCCTTCTCAATTGCCTCCATCGTAGAGGGGGGTGTTAGGTTTCCGTTGAACCCTTTGTTGCGTCGATTCTTTTCTTATTTTGAACTTACACCAATGCAAATATCAATGAACACATTTAGAGTGGTAAACGGTGTCTCGGTCTTGAACGACCTCTTAGACTTGGACTTGGGTATTTGGGATATCCTTCATTGCTACTCCTTGTGTCGTAATAAAGGCAGTAAAACCTAT